ACTTATGTATCGGGCCCAGTCAGAACTCAATTGATGTGTTCGATTAAGTTCTATGTCAAACAAATCGGAAATCAGAAAATAAACTGCTGGACAATAAGTATTACGTTGTCTCTGAATTCCGTGATTTACTCTAATATGATGATGTTTTGATAAATCTTGATTAATATGGTTTTCTGTAAACGATATGTATTAACGGTTATTTTAATTAAAAATGAAAATTTTATGCCTTTATTTTTGGGACGTTTCAACCTCATGTTTCAACAAAATTGGAAATAATATCTAGGAACTTCGCAAAGTAAAAGCATTTTCAACAAACTGATTAAAGGTATCAACCAAACCTTGGGAAAAATAAACTCTACCCATTCTTTCCAAACTATCTCTCATCGAATTCAAATCAACGAAGACAACATAATAACCGTATAATGGGACATAAACGAATAAATATAATCAAAAAACAAGTTTTTGCGTGTCTCATGTTGGGGAGATAATATTAATCAGAAAACATTTAACATTAAAAAAATAACAAACTCCCTAAAAATATTCAAATTATGTGTATTAGTGTTAGGTACGTCAAAGCTAATAAACAATGAAAGGGTAATAAAGTTCACTGCTTTGATGCACTGAAGGATAACATATGGTAAGGACAGTGTATTAGTGTTAAGTGGGTCAAACCTAATAAACAATAAAAGTGTAATAAAGTGCACTGCTTTGATGCACTAAAGGATAACATATGGTAAGGACGGTCGAATCCACATCGACATCACTTAAAACTCAATGTTTTTTTTTATGTAAGACACAATTACTAGTCAAAACATAAGTTAAATGAGGTTTTTAAATATCAAAAAGAAAACCTGAAAATAAAATTTTCAGAAAACAAAAGTGCATATAAAAAAACTTAAGAAAATTCAATACTAAAATACTTTCTAGTTTTGTTGCGACTCTTTTAATTATGCAATTAATCATAAAATGATTATTTAATACACATTCTATCTATGCTAATACTAAAGTCTACTAAAAGGCTCCAGCAATTCCCTTTTAGTAAGTCGTCTTTCAAAACACTATTTATAAATTAAGCCTTTTTTTTTAACAAAACCTAAACAAACTCTTAGAATCAAATTATAAAAAATGCATTGAGATTTGTATAAATTTTCCAACAATATTCAATACTTCACACAAACTTGAAAGTGTAAAATATGTGATTTTTAATTTTACATAAACATTAAATCTTATCATGAAACCAATTTGATGTTTGTTACTTGTTACAAATTACCAAAACAATTAGGGATCTTTAATTCAGGTAATCAAACTAAAATCAAATGATTGGTTAAACCAAAACTGAAACAACGTGATAGAAACACAAATTAAAAACCAAATCTAATGATTACTCTCATGCAAAGTCGAAGTCTGTGCAGAACTAAAAACTAGAGTTTTTATCCGTATCAAAAACTTAAATCCAATGTCTAGAAAGTAAATCTTACTAAACTAAACTAAAGAGTTGAATTGCAACCTTCAAATCTTTGTAAATCATCGACAAAAGTTAAAAATTCATTAAGAAAGGCTTTTGGAACAGGTACCCAACCTAATAACTTCGTTTAGAAGCAAAGTGGTTGTATTTATAAGCAGAATGCAATATTAGATAAAGATTTAATTGGTTATTAATTAAGTCTTTGATCTATCATCATACAACGAATGAGAAGGCAAACGGGCAACAAGTTGCGCCGCTAAGCCTTTTTGTATGGTAAAGTCAATTTTTTTGAAGACTACATCCATAGATCTAGGGGATATAACATTGCTATGCATGATCCAATGTAGTCTACTAAGAAGCTCCACCACATCCAGCGCAAGGAAACCAAACGTATCAAATGCAAATGGTATGAACGCGTGTTGATTTTCCATGCACGATTTCTCATGTTTGGTGACATTGCTTATAGCAGCTTTTAATGCAGCCTGTCCCACTGTGAAACCCACGACCCTCAAGCTTGCGAGAGGCGATACCCTTATAAGGTCCAACATACGTGTTTCCCTCCAACCCATGAGAAGTGATATGTGTATTTTTAGATATATTTTTATGCACTTTATCTTAATATTTTGGCCTTATTTATTTTATTTTAGAACTAAAGAGTACTCATAATGCTTTGAATTATGTTTTGCAGCTATTTGTTGTCAATAAGGCACAAGAGAAAAGACTGAAGCGGAAACTGGGCTTAGAAGCTAAAAGAAAGAAAAGGGGGCTGAGGTCGCGATTACGCCCCGCGTACCTTAAGAGCACGCCCCGCGTACCTGCTTGCACCGGATATACATGATCGCGTGATTATCTGTAGTACGCGCCGCGTAATCCTAAGTACGCCCAGCGTACTTAGGTCGGCCACAAGGATTATAAATGTCGATTTTTAGCCAACCAGGAGGGGGATTCGACTTCTAACCTAATTTAGTCGACAATTAACTTCTGTTAAGCCGTTTTGAGGGTCTAGAAGGCGGCCGGAAGGCCGTTAAGCTAACGGGAGCAGAGATCTGAAGGATTGGAGAGCAGATACATGTCGGTAATCATATGGATTGCTAACGTGACCATGTTTAGCACTTCCTTATGGTACTTTTTGTATTTAGTTTCTGATTTGGGTGTAAAAACCTTTTACTTTGTGTTTATGATTGAATGAAGTTTTGATTCTTAGACTAATTGATATGTTAAATAATTTATTTGTGTTTAATTTATCTTGCCAAGCTTGTTCAAAGATCCTCATGTGTTAATGATGATTATTTGCTGTTAATTGTTAAGTGAATTAAGTTGTATGAAAACCTGCTTGATTTGCTTGTCTCTTATGATTTTTGATGACCATTGAGATTATAAGACTAGAAATAACGAATGTGAAACTAGGATTAACATGGGAATAAGTAAGTTAATGTGTGAGCCTTGTTTGATGACCATCAACAAGAGGTTAATTAAATGTTTAAATTAACTAATTTACAAGTCTTGCTTGATACGAACTGAACACTAGGAAGCATGTTAGTTTAATCAATTGATCACTGTTTGAATTAACTTGTTTGCTAAAGGATTAGTTATAGTGAACATGAATCTAATCAATTTAGGAATCGGTGAACATGAATAAATGAATTTGTGTATGCAATTGTTTATGTTTTCAAGGTGGAATTTGTCTAAACCAAAGTACCTAAAGAGATTTGTTTTTCCTGTTAGTTTATCGAGAATGGTTAATTAATTATTAGTTTGAGATTTATTAAATTATTCTTTTCGTGTGACATGTAACCTATAATTAAATATATTAAATTAATCCACCGTTCCCTGTGATCGACACCCGACTTACCTAAGCTATACTGTAATCTGACTAGGTACACTGCCTATAAGTGCATAGTTAGTCTAAGTTTGTTAGGTTATAAATATTAAAATTAATGGGTACTTTCGTGCACATCAAGTTTTTGGCGCCGTTGCCGGGGAACGGCTTGTCATTAATTTATTTTATTTGATTATTCGTTATTTGTTTTTAGTTAGTTCTCATTTTTTTTAGTTTGATTTTCGATGATATCTTTTCACTTGTCGGGAAGGTTCTTGTTTTTATTTTGCAGGAATTTGGGATTGTACACATTGCTTGACTTTACTTTTTGCATGGGTTTCGAGAATGAAAGCGATTAGGGAATTCTTGACCTGCTTAGCCTACTACTTTGTTGATTTGTCCAACTCAATCCATGAGGCGTAGTATAGCAAGGCGTATTGTGGTGGTTAAGTGGAAGACCGAGCTCTTGCTGTTCTTGACTAGTTAGGTCACTTCTTGTTCCGCTTCTAGTTAATGGTGCAAGGAAAACAAAGGAAATATTCTAACGGGTCCCGAAAGTGGGTGTTTTCGCAAACCAATTCTTGCATGCAAAGGTTTTTGATCAACCATTGTTGTTTGATCTTGACAAAGATAAGTGATTATGACATCTCAATTTTTTTTATCACTCATCGTGAAGTCATCATTAGCTTAAGAAATTAAAAAGGAAAAATTAAATAAGTTTTAAGTTCCTAGATGAAATGATTAAAAAGAAAAGGAAATTCAATTAAAAGAAGAGAGGGAAATTTTCATTTAAAATTACGCCCCGCGTAAGTTTAATTACGCCATGCGTAATATGCCCCGGATCGCGGATGAACATTTCAGGGGGTTGAGGTACGCCCCGCGTACTCTTGAGTTACGCCCCGCGTAACACGGCGACCAGGTATATCTTTTGACCCGTTGACTTCTTCTTTATTCTTTTCCTTCTTCTCCTTTCTCGCAAGAAATGTGACGGCAGCTTCTCTCAAGATTCTCGATTCTCTCTCGTTTCTTGTTAAATCCACCACACAAGTAAGTATTTCGGATACTCAATAGCTTGGATTTGTGTTTAATTCAAAGGAATAAGCTGCATTCAGCTTTTGCTTGAAATCTAGGGTTTATATATCTTTCGAATTAGGGCCGATTTTGCAAATGAATGTGTTGATTAGGGCTTGAATGGACCGATTTCGGTTAATACATTAAACCCTCGAGCTTAATTTCGTCTTAATTCCGTCCCACGTTTACCGATTCGAGCTTGGGGTCGTACGCCAAGTGTACCCCTGTGACTTCGAGTTCTTGACTCTGGCTTCGATTTTCGACTGTTATACATGTTACCTGTTAAATGTCTTCATAGGGATTGATTCATATTTTATTAGGAGGTCCCGATTTTTCTCCTACTGCCTTGGATCACACGGTTGGTTCCATTTGCTAACATGTATGCCCATGTGTTTGACTTATTAGACAACCTGGGTATGGGCTTAAATTGACAGTTTTTTTTTTGAAATGGGTATTAATTTTAGAACGAAAAGGGACAGATTCGTGAACTCGGACGTAAGCCCAACGTACTACACCTATCCAGCCCCAAAGAACCAACCTTAATTAGTTAAATTTATTAACTAATTAATTTTTTTTTGGTTTAAAAATCTATTAATGCTGCCATATTTTGTTGGTTTTGTGTTTTTGTGTTAATATATGCAGATTATGGCTCGAAGGGCACAAAGAACCAACCCTCCCGAGGATGTGACCGATCATCGCTTTTTACAATTTCCGCAAACACTGAGCGATGCTACTAGGGCGCGTTATAGCACCAACTTGAGCCTGCTTCTCACAAAGGAGATTGATATTGCACCCTCTTTCGACTGGGAGTTGGCTACCAGGACTGGACTTGCTGCATTGATCCAGGAATTTTTGCAATACACACACTCGGACGCGAGTGGGGTGGAATTGTTTGTGTGTCAGGGATGGGCGCGTTTGTTCAGGATCCAGGAGCCGGTATATCGAGAGTTTTTGCTGGAGTTCTATGCTACAGTTTCCTATGATCCTAGGAAGCCACTCAATGACAGGACAGCCTTTGCTTTCAGACTGGGAGGAGTGAGCCGGGAATGCAGCGTGATAGAGCTTGCTACTCGGGTGGGTATTTACACAGCCGATGAGACAAGGAGTGTCCACTTCCCGACATTTCTTGCTGACTGTCTCACGGAGCGGCCGGAGGACTACAATGAGAACACTTTTTGGGCCGAGATTACGGGAGGAATTTATACACCATCTACCGCTCGAGGGGGATGATTCGGTCTACTACATACCGAATGTTGCACCGGTTGATTTCTATGTCTCTCACGCATCACAAGAATAGTGAGAGAGTGCCTTCGACGGACCTGTATTTCCTATGGGCACTAGTTACTCCAGGGAGGCACCTGAACCTTCCAGTTGCTTTAGCTGCATACTTGGGACGGAGGGCCAGGGGACTTCGAGGAGATAGCCCGATATGCGGAGGGCATTTTATCACACGATTAGCTCGATCATATCAGTTGATGACACGTGAGATCACAAGATCGATGGTGTTTCACGACATGAGGCCGATGAGTCTTCAGCTATTGGAGTCGATGCGCGTATTAGAGCGGGGCGGAGATGGTGTTTTGAAGGTTCGAGCAGATGATGTGGCGGATGAGGAGGGTGCCGCCGAGCCACAGCCGAGACGGGTCCCGCGGCGTAGACCTACTCCTCGGGGAGCGCAGCAGGGACCTGAGCCGGAGATTGATATGCGCTATTTAGCTCAGGGCATTGATCGTCTTGACTTGAGGGTCCAGAACCTTAGCGAGTATGTTGCACATGTGGACGCGCAACAGCGGTGGCAAGGGAATGCGTTGAATGCATTCTTTGCCCATCAGGGATTTCAGTATTCGGTTTCCTTTCCACCACCATTCCAGTCACGATTTGACGGGGCCGGTACTTCTGGGACACAGCCACATGATGATGGAGATGATGAGTGATCCTTTTTATTTGTTTGTTTTGTGTTAATTTTTGTTTAAGTTTAGTTTTTAGTATTTGGTATGTAATTAAACTTTGATTTAGTTTGTTTTATTTTTGTTTTCCATGTTGATGCTCTATGGTTGTTTAGATTTATGCAGAATATTCGCCCTTAGGAAGCTGGCAGTAAGTTCAGCAGCTAGGTCCGACTGTTGCTAGAGAGCCATGTGAGAGTTCGAAGATTATAGTCAAGACCCACAATTTGTCATAAGTGTGGGGTGCATATTTATTAGAGTTGTATTTCGACGCGAGGAAGAAGTATCATCCCGGCTGCCACGACATGGTTGACACTTTCCTATGTTGTGGGGGATTTTTCATCGCGAGAAGAGGATGTCATTCTTGACGAGACGACGTGGTCGACACTTTCCCACGTCATGGTTATTATACATTGCATCTAATTGCAATATTTTGTACCACATTTTCGAAGATGGCGGTCTTGATTTTATTTTTCGGCATATTCAGAAGCAGCAGTTCCAGTTTTCAGTTTTTCAGCAGTATTTGAAGCAACCTGTAGCAGCCCCATTCGATCTCGCCACAACTACCCAGGGGAGTCTGTTCCTTTTTCTCCCTTTTTATGTTCTTAATTTGTTTTAGCATACAATGAGGGCATTGTATGAAATAAGTGTGGGGTAGGGGGTCGGTAAAAGTAAATTATAAAAATATAATAGTTGGAAATTGCTAGATTTAGGGAAATTTAAAAATTTAAAAGAAAACTTGAAATAATAGTTTAATTTAGAAAAATCTAGTGATAATTTAAAATTTTGCTAATATTGTATGAGATGATCCGATGAGAACTCAAATGTTTAGTTGAGCCAATATACGTTATAGTGCATTTGTGGCTTCCCTTATTTTAGTGAAATCATGGAACAAAAACATAACCCCGCTCGGTTTGAAGGATGCAATATGTTTAGCAGCCTAAACCTGAAATGTATCCAGGAAAATTATTATCATTAACCAATAAAGGTTGAGGTTGAGCGCCTCTGCTTAAGCATGTAGGTTTTGAGTGAAAAAAGAGAGGTACATGTAAAAAAAAAAAAGAGAATTACGAAAAAGTTTGAAGAATTTTGGAGCAAATAAAGTGAAGATCAAAAGATCAAAATTCTGAAGAAATCCAAAAAGTTGAAGATACCAAGAAATCAAATCAAATAAGGTGGTGAATTCAAAGAAATCAAAGATCAAATTGTTCAGAGAAATGAAGAATTCAAAGAAAGCTCCATAGTGGTATCATAAATTGTAATTCTAGATTATGTATGCTTAGGTTGCTCAACTAAAAATACCTTGAGGTTAGGAGGTTTTCTGAGGATGGATTCGGAGGGTTGCATAAAATGAGCATTGTTCGGAAAAAGTGGGCAAGTGTTTATGAAGATTGTGAGTATTTAAAGTATGGGGGGTACTTTAGGAAAATTTTAGACACAAATGCATGCGTTGAGGTCTTGGCATAATGGCTGAGTTTTAAATGGATTGTTTAGTGCGATATTGGTAAAATAAAAGTAAATTTGCTTGTGGGCAAGCAAAGGCTAAGTGTGGGGTATTTTGATATGTGTATTTTTAGATATATTTTTATGCACTTTATCTTAATATTTTGGCCTTATTTATTTTATTTTAGAACTAAAGAGTACTCATAATGCTTTGAATTATGTTTTGCAGCTATTTGTTGTCAATAAAGCACAAGAGAAAAGACTGAAGCGGAAACTGGGCTTAGAAGCTATAAGAAAGAAAAGGGGGCTGAGGTCGCGGTTACGCCCCGCGTACCTTAAGAGTACGCCGCACGTACCTGCTTGCACCGGATATACATGATCGCGTGATTATCTGTAGTACGCGCCGCGTAATCCTAAGTACGCCCAACGTACTTAGGTCGGCCACAAGGATTATAAATGTCGATTTTTAGCAACCAGGAGGGGGATTCGACTTCTAACCTAATTTAGTCGACAATTAACTTCTGTTAAGCCGTTTTGAGGGTCTAGAAGGCGGCCGGAAGGCCGTTAAGCTATCGAGAGCAGAGATCTGAAGGATTGGAGAGCAGATACATGTCGGTAGTCATATGGATTGCTAACGTGACCATGTTTAGCACTTCCTTATGGTACTTTTTGTATTTAGTTTCTGATTTGGGTGTAAAAACCTTTTACTTTGTGTTTATGATTGAATGAAGTTTTGATTCTTAGACTAATTGATATGTTAAATAATTTATTTGTGTTTAATTTATCTTGCCAAGCTTGTTCAAAGATCCTCATGTGTTAATGATGATTATTTGCTGTTAATTGTTAAGTGAATTAAGTTGTATGAAAACCTGCTTGATTTGCTTGTCTCTTATGATTTTTGATGACCATTGAGATTATAAGACTAGAAATAACGAATGTGAAACTAGGATTAACATGGGAATAAGTAAGTTAATGTGTGAGCCTTGTTTGATGACCATCAACAAGAGGTTAATTAAATGTTTAAATTAACTAAATTTACAAGTCTTGCTTGATACGAACTGAACACTAGGAAGCATGTTAGTTTAATCAATTGATCACTGTTTGAATTAACTTGTTTGCTAAAGGATTAGTTATAGTGAACATGAATCTAATCAATTTAGGAATCGGTGAACATGAATAAATGAATTTGTGTATGCAATTGTTTATGTTTTCAAGATGGAATTTGTCTAAACCAAAGTACCTAAAGAGATTTGTTTTTCCTGTTAGTTTATCGAGAATGGTTAATTAAATATTAGTTTGAGATTTATTAAATTATTCTTTTCGTGTGACATGTAACCTATAATTAAATATATTAAATTAATCCACCGTTCCCTGTGATCGACACCCGACTTACCTAAGCTATACTGTAATCTGACTAGGTACACTGCCTATAAGTGCATAGTTAGTCTAAGTTTGTTAGGTTATAAATATTAAAATTAATGGGTACTTTCGTGCACATCAAGAAGCGTGTTTCTAGTCAGCTTAATGAAGTACGATGCAATTTTCGGACTCTGGAATAAAATCTCGCTCATGTGTATGGAAACATGATCGTGTAAGTTGGACGTGATCTTCTTGAGATGAATTAAAGCACATATTACACTTGTAGGACTAAAATTTGATCATGTAAGTGAAAACACGATCATGTAAACACTCCGTAGTCTTTTTGGCATGAAATAATTGGTCCAAAACGTCTTCGGGAGAGTTACACGTACATGTGAAAGGAAACACAATCATGTAAACATGTATACATGTGATTCAAACAAGATTTCTTCAATTCTAGTTGATTCCTTCCACTTTCCAACTTCTGGTAGTGTTTCCGGTACTAGTTAAGCTTTAAATATGCTCTAAGTTGCATCCATATTTATTTGGAATACTGATCCACTTCAAATTACCTTAAAGAGACATCAAGTCATAAGTAGTACATGTATTCTAGTAAAAAACACAAGTTGTCCAATTATTAAACTAATGCAGAAAACAAGATGTAAAACGATACTAAAAACTTACATAAAAGATGCATAAAAGTGCATCTAACAACACTTGATATCTTCTCTAGGAATACAATAGTCCCGACCCATAAATAATACCTACCTATCTCCCCCAATGACTACTACAAGGCAATGTTAAACTTTTTATAGACTTAAGAGTCTCGTATGGTGAGAATGAAGTACATACGAGACACTTAAATCAAATAAAAATTTAAGAAAAATTAAATTTCTTCCTACCTTTTGTTTATACTTTTCTTCCTAACTATTTAAGATAATGACAAATGTACAAATTTAGAATCTCAATTAAATTGAAATTAAATTTAATTACACTTGTTACCATTTAAAATAGATAGAAACATAGTAGCACCATTTAAAATAGATAGAAACATAGTAGGAACAAAAAGTAGAAAGCTATTTAATTTCTCAAAATTTAACTATGCCTTGTACTAAGATTTGAAACTAAATATGGTTTGAACTTATTACCTTATATCCTTTACCGGAGTTGGTCATAATTTTATCATAGAAGAATCTTCATAACATACTTGGCATCTAAATATTATCATCTTAGAAAAGAGCTTTTATTTTATAAGCCTAAATACACCATTTAACATTTATATAATCAAAAGTATATTATCTAAGCGTAATTTTCACATCTAAGTAGCAATAATCAGATTATTAAATTTTGATATACGATATCCGAACATCAATAAATTTTCGCAACAACTACATATACTATATTTTTATTTTTGATTTTTTATAAAAGGAAAGATGGATTGACTAAAATGCAACAATTTAGTAGTCTTGTTATATCATGCAG